TAACTTTTGAAGTCCACAAATTGTTTTAGTTATTGTGTGCGAAACATAACGCGAAGCGTAGTTCAAAATATTTGTTTTAGTTTTTGTTAAGAATGCTCATCACCAATTTCTTCTCTTCTTTGCTACGAAAAAGAAAAAGTCGTTTCTGTGTACAACAATTTTCAACTGTTTAACTGATTCAAATCAAGATTCAGAAGGTTGTTTTCGGGTAATAGTCAAGTCTGATAGAGCAGTTGTTATGACACCTCATTATTGCAGCATTGCCTGGATGTGATACCAACTTGTCATGTGTTACTTATGTATGTCTAGTCATTGTATAATCTTTAGGGAAACAAAATGTTAGCAACGATTGTTGCTAAATTTGAGCAATAAGGCGTTTGCCTTCGCGTCTCATTTATGCGGTGGTCACATCCCGCCGTACTTGCAAGTGCGTGCTGTCTACGTGCAAAAACGTAGGCAAACTTTGGGTATCCGTACGTAATGAGCACATGTAAAGTATCATAATATTCATGATATGCCGAGCATTTATTTTGTTTGTCTCTTTTCCTCTGTTTGACCTCTATATATTGATTTTAGTTTTGACAGTATGTGCAGCTGAAATTCTTAATCTGCTGCAACGAACTTACCATTAAAATATTTAATACACTCTTACGTCATTTCTTAATTTCATAGTCACAATTGATAATAGGCCTTTTAAATGTAAAAGATGACAAAAGTTTGTTGGGGTTTGAGGGGAAAATATAACTAAAAGTTACTAGTAGCCGATTTACTCAACCATCGATTTATTCCATTGGTTTCAAACCTGCACATATTATGGTTAATTACCGCTTTTGACCATACACGATGGCATGCTATACGAATTCAAAGATAGCAATACATTTCCCTTAACAAATGTTATTCCTATTTCCTCCATTTTCTTTATTTTTGGATAACTTACAGAAGTAAGCTACAACTGTATCGCGTGCTTTGCACCGAGAAACTAGAAATGGACCTACTTGTCTTCTTCATATTTGCAGGTAAACGCGCATAAGTTTTACATACAAACAATTGTAACACTCTATTAAAAGATAAAAGAAAAAAAAAACCATGTTTGAGGTTCACATTTCCCGACAGTATGGACACGTATCATAAACAATTATTCATTATGATAAACCGGAACTACAGCATCAACCGTAAGACATCTGTACATGGATATTTGCAAAACTATTATGATTGTTATTGTTATTGCTTGAGTGATTTTATGAATTCTATATGATTCCCTTCCTCGCCTACACAGTTATGCTGGCATATCTTTTTCTTAATTCATAACTCTTTTGAGTACATTTTTTATATTACCATTTGAAAACTTTATATTCCCATTTGCTATGCTTGTATGATAATCCCTCTGAAGTTTGATATTTATAAATTATTTCAATTTTGCCCATGCAATACATCATTCATTTTCACGATACCGAAATCCCAACATACCCTAAAGCTATTTGTTGATGATATCATTTCTTTAGTAAAGAAAAGTAGAATACAAACAAAGTAAACATAGTACAAATAAATCCAATATCGTTTGAGAAGTGAACCAACAAAGAAAAATTATTTGACAAAGTAGTGACATAAACATGATAGCGAGAACATGATAACATTTTTTTCTTTGCCTCATAAGAGGATTTATTAGGTAAACATGCATGGTTTACATTCAAAGATACAATGATAAAATCAAACTGACACAATAAAAAAAAGCATCATTATTGGCATAACAAAGACTTTAAATTAAATGTTGTCCAGCAAAGCATTTGAATCATCATTAACATAAGAATTATACTCATAATTTGTTTCTTTTTTTGTCTTCTTCTAAATAACAAGTAATAACTCTTTTGGTAAAAACATGTGCTTTCTGATTTGGTTGACTTTCCAATCTTTTTATAAATTCTCTTTGGAAAATTCTGTTTGGAAGCAACGTTTCTTTTGTCTATTCCTGTCATATTCCGATCGACAATCAATTTGTAAATGGTCCAAAAAGCTATAGTTAGGAATAAAGAACAATGATTTTCACAATCTATTTTAAGCAAGTGTTGGATACTGAACATCAATGTCTTTACTTGGTATATATCTCTTAATATTTCTTTCAGGTGTTTAATGAAGGGCTCATTTAGTTTGCATTCGATAAATGCGTGATTTATATCCTCTTTTATATTACATTTTGGGCATACATCGCCATTAGTTATTCCCCATATGAAAAGATTACTTTTTACTGGCAATAGATTATACAGTAATTTCAAGGTAAACTCTCGCAATTCGTTTTCTCTGATGTATGTAAGATTACGCTTGAATAACGTAGACCAATTAATACCTACATTAAGTTTTTTTTCCCTCAATAAAGACAACATGTGTTAGTTAGGTTAGTTAGTATAGTTCTCGAATGAATGAGTTTACAGAAACGATGGCTACTCATATCAGTAACATGTTTTACCTTATTTGCAACCAACTTATAAGGAACTTTGTTTTCATTAACATGATAAAGATAGAGTCATAACAATCATTATAATCACTATAGTGTTATCTATGATTATACTATAGTGATTATAATATGATTATGACTGAGAAAAGGAAAATGTACACCCTTGGCATAATTTGCGTTCGGTATGAGATCTTGATTGAGTCAATATGTCAGGTCCGACACTTCTAATTTTATTTCCTACAATGTAAAAAGGTTGGGCAATATTTTTTCAACACTTTGCCCAACGTTGTGCCAATAGTCAACCCAACCATCTATTGGGCAATATTTTGCCCAGTGGTATTGGTAAACGTAAGTACCCTACAAGTGCATAATTGCTTCGTATTTTGACCAAAATTTGGGCAAAGATATGACCCTTCAGCTGCCCGACTACGGTAGCCCATTTGTTGGGAAAATCTTCCAACTGTTGGGAAAAATACGAAAATATTGCCCAATAGATGGTTGGGTTGACTATTGGCAACGTGTTGGAAAATATTGCCCAACCTTTTCACAGTGTATAGCTCGGAAATTTATAGTGGCTAAAAATGAGAATGAATGGTAATCAATTGGTTTAACATTAAAAAAAGAAAGGACTTGTCATAAAGTGTTACCCTCTTTTTGGTCACAGGATGTGTGACCATGTCCAGTGCTGTCACATGCTATTCCTGCCAAAGAAGCTATGTCCCCTTCCTCCCAGAAGAAGGTCTTTTTTTCGACTTGACCAACTGCTCTGCACCAAGCGGGAACAACTATTTTGTCGACACAATCACGAACTGTACTGGTACTTGTCTCGTAAGTTGATATGATAAGGAACTTTTGCAGTCACTTCGTCGAAAAAAACATTTAGACATGAACCTTCCTCTAATAAGTAGAACAATGTTTATTATGTAATACATAAATCTTTGATAATTGCATAGTTACAAATTATTCATTTTAGCTGTTACGAATGTTTGTGTGTCCTATAAATACAATTAATGTATGGAATTTCCGTTCTGACGATTGAAATACAATTATACGTAACTTCTGAATGAAATATATTAAAGGTAAAGACCAGTTATGGTCAAGCGATTGCATTGTGAAAGAAACGTTGTGGAATCGATCAGAAAAGGTTGATCATCTAGCATCTAGCATCTGCAAGGTTCTGGAATCATCAAAATGATAAGAAATTTGGCCCATTCTTCGTAAAGTTACAAGCACTATACACAGAAAGATGTATATGGGACTACCCTACATCTCTCACAAACCATGAGAGAAACAAATTTACCAAATATATGAATTAGTAGGCGGTTTCGCGGCAAATTTTGTATCATCATGTATTAGTCAAAACATATTCTTTCACATGATTGGTAATGAGAGCTTCCATTTAATTTTTTTAAATTGGGGCGTTTCCAATACTGGTCTTTACCTTTAAAAGGAACTTAACAAAGTTTTTTTTAGCATATTACGAAAATGGTATATTGCGACAAAATACTACTAGTAGTATTGTTATTGTGCTTAGTAGTAGTAAGAGGTTATTTTTTATTGGCTTATTAAAAATACAGACCACGATTTCGCTGAGAAGTTCAAGTTCATACTACGACGTCTCTCGGTCTTGTCTTGAGGGTTCTCCTTCATTTCTGACATCACAATGCGAAATGGGGTGCACGACTCCATCCGATTGCAGACAGTGTTGCGACTCCGACCTTTGCAACGATGCATCTGTGGATGACATCATAAAGGAGAATCGATTGGGCCAAACTTGCTACGAGTGTCGGCACAGCGAGATACCTTCCACTGGTGATTACAACCCAAGTTGTGGACTGGCTTTCGACCCAGAGGGCACGGCCTTGAGGTACTCCTTCTGCGAGGGTCTGTGTTATGTAAGTACCAAAAAGCTTGGAAAGCTTGAAGGAGGAACAAGAAGGTTAGGGAGCGTAAAGGATACCCGATATCCCGGACGCGTTATTTTCTTCTGCGGCACAGATTGGGGCTTTAAAAAAAAAAAAGGGGTCTTGATTTAACCCTTACCCTAACCCTAACCCTAAACTTTCCCATAGGCTCAACACACACCTAACCCCAATGTGTACCGCCGAAAAAAATCCCGGACACTCTTTTTTCACAAAATTCCACAAGTCAGGCATATATATATGCAGATGCGGCGGGGCGGGGGGGGGGGGGTCACCACGAGAGCATAACATTTAACGAAGTGGCAATTAATAATTCTTATGACTACTTTGAAGTACAAGGGACATTCTTAGGTAGCACAAATCCATAATTAGGTTAGCATTTACAGTTGCGGAAATAAACGACAGTTCAAGAGTCTGGTAGAGGCCTATATCGTATATCATTATCATTTTTATCATTATTATTATGATTATTATCATTACCATTACTACTTCTATTACTCATTTTATCATTACTATTGTTATTATTATTATTATTATTATTATTATTATTATCATTATCATTATTATCACAGTCATTATTACTACTCATTTTTTAATTTTTATTATCACCATTTCCATTCTGTACGCAGAGTGCAGTCACGTTCATCGAGGGGGTAGAAGACGTTCAGCGTGGATGCCGGGGCTCAGGAAGCAGTTGCGATTATGCCAACCATCCCTATCTGGAAGACAAGAGCGTTAGTTTCGGCGGTCTGGATTACGATATGAAGTGTTGTTTGGGCTCCCTTTGCAATGGGGGTCGGTCTCTTGGTTCTGCCATGAGCATGATCGTACTCGCTTCTTTCTTGGCTCAGTTCTTGGCTCTAGCACTGTAATAAACAGAGGGAAATTTAATTATTATCCCCAATGATTCCAAAGAGACCGACCCTAATTCAAAACGACACCAGGGCCCTGTTTTCATAAAACGTGTTATCAATAACAGGTTGCTAGAGCTGTTACAAGCTACTGAAATCGTTGCATTTGATTAGCTGAAAGCAGGTGTCACACTTAATATTGATAACGAGGTTTATGAATCGGGGCCCATGGCAGCGTTTCACCAAACCGTCATACCACAAATTTGCAGGAAACCCATGGAAACTCGTGTTTCAATGGGCTGTCGGTGAACTTGTAATAGTGACGGTTTCGTGGAATTATGCCCCGATCGACGATCGACCCAATGTAAACATTTTTAAACCGAATGGTCGGTTTGGAATCAGTTTGGCGGTCTAATTTTGTTGGTGTATTTCAATCTGAATTTGCTTATTAAATCATGAAGAATTTTCCTTTGTGCGGTTTTACAATCTTCATACAATCAAGGAGTTTTAAGAGCTGGACCGTGTTTCAACTGGCAACAAATTATGCCAAGCAGCTGCCGTTTTCTAAGGTTGAGAAGTGATTTTGTTCACAAATGCATAGCGTTAATATTTCACTTTTTATTTGAACTAACAAGGGGGAAAATCGAATAGATAATAAAATGTGAATCCAAATAAAAAGCCTAATTGTGTCAAGAAACTTGCTTACATTGTATAATAGCAGTTTTAATTTGTGAAAATAGTAAAATGTTACAATCCTAAAACCTGCAATTTTATACTTTTCCAATTATTTCCGGGTCACGAAAATAAACAGTCAATTTGTTATTGTACAGTCCTTTATGATGTTATATGTCAGATTAGTGCCCACAATGCCCAGTCGAGTAATTTGGATGAATATTTCAGGAAATTTTGCTCCATTTCCTTTCGCTTGCCTCCTGTAAAGGCAAACACTTACAAAAGCATATTTCCATTTGAAAGTGGCCCGTTAGTTTTCAGCTAGGCCGGAACCTTTTGTATACTTATTTGCAAGGAAGATCTAGTTAAGTACATGCCTGACATATTTTTCTCCTTGCAGCTTCGAGGATGGTACAAATGGAATGAGCTAGATATGACTCCATCTCTTAAAACTCCTTGATACAATTAACGGTGCTTGTTCGTTGTACAAGATAATGTTACGCGGGAACTCTAGCCTTTGCAGGTTAACTACCAATGTCTGACATATATTTTGCGATAGCTTAAAAGGCCCTAGGCAATTTTACAAACAGCAGTGCAGAAGATGTATGAATACCGATATTTGAACATATTCCGTCATTATATGTTTGAAAATCCCATTAATCTCCCCACTAGTATAGCGTGTTTTAAATAACATATCTTCTATCCAAGGTTTCTTTTAAGTGTAATTAGCAAATTAAACTTTAGACTTATTACTCGGAACTTCAAAGTATGTACATTTTTTTTGCAGCAAATCAGTTATTTTGTGGGTGTATTTACAATGTGAATTTACTTATAAAATCATGAAGACTTAACCTGTGTGCGGTTTTATAATCTTCATATAATAACAGGTGCTGGTTCGGTGTACAAGATAATGTTATGTGAGGATTCTTTCTTTTGCACGTTAATTACCAATGTTTGACATATATTTTGTGATAGCTGAAAAGGCCATAAGTGATTAAACACACAGCAGTGCAGACTGAAGAGGCTGTAAGAATGTCGACCATTACATGACGAATAAACTGTTGTTACCATATTATATTATCAGAATTTAAACATATTCTGCATTATATGTTTTACTATTCCTTTGATCTCCCCATTAATAAAGCGTGTTTTGAATAATTGCATTTAAGCAGGTTATCATGACAGATCTTGGATTTAAAGTTTTCATATTAGTATAACGAGCAATATAAACTTTGAAAATATTACTCAGAACTTCAAAGTATTTATACTTTTGTCGTAGCTAATCAGTTACTTGGTTGGTGTATTAACAATTTTAATTTGCTTATTAAATCATGAAGACGATTTTGTAATCTTCATATAATCATTGGTTCTGGTTCGTTGTACAATATAATGTTATGAGAGAATATTAGTTTTTGCAGGTTAAATACCAATGTCTGACGTATATTTTCTGGCGGCTGCAAAGGCTTGAAGTAATTAAGCAAACAACAGTGCAGTCTGCAGAAGCTGTATGAATATGATTTTTGAACATATTCCGTCTTTATATGTATTAACATTTCATTAATCTCCCCACTAGTAAAGCGTGTGTTATATAAATACATTGAAGCAGTTTCCTTTTAGTATAACGAGCATTTGAAACTTTAGACATATTATACTCAGAACTTCAAAGTATGTTTACTTTTTGTAGAAAAGCTGTAATGTTGATTAAAAATTAGAATTGTTTAAGTCATGAAGAATTAATTACCAATGTATGACATATATTTTGTGGTGGCTGAAAAGGTCTGAAGCAATTAAACAAACAGCGATGCAGAAGCTGAAAGAATACTGATATCATTACTTTAAAAAAAAATATGTGTATTTTTACATTTTTTAACGTTAATTTTACCTTTTTTTTGGAGATGGCCCCCCTCCCCCCGGCGCTCAAGGGGGGGGGGGGGGATGCAATATTTCAAATTTTCGAGGACCAAAAAACCACTTTTGCTAATGTTTCGTTTGCGTACGTGCGTCAATTTTGTGGTTTAGCATACGTATGTGAGCTAAATTTAGGTCAATAATGGTTAAAAGAGATTTAAAATTGCTAAAAATAGTATTAGCTACACAATAATAGAGACAACATTTCATTTATATATTCAATACGGACGGCACAAGCAAAGACGCGCACGCATGCGTCCGCGTGCGCAAATTTATTGGTCCATTAAGCATTTTGACAATTTTAAACTTTTGACGCACGCGTACACTTCTGCCATGACGTCAGGTTTATGCATATCAATTATGGTTGAGAATTGACAATGAATGACGGAAATAGGGTCAATAATAGAAATTAACAAAATGGCGCCTGAATGACGTCACGCATCAGTGTTAGCTAGTGTAATATTTAAAGGTGCGTTTTGTTGGGTTATTGTTTTCCTCAATTAGTAGAATCCGAGATATCAAGCTTCTCTCTTTCTTTGCAATCACACTACTTTATAGCGCTAAATGCTGTGTGGTTCTTTATCTTGTCGTTGAGAATTAATTGCTCTTTAGTAAAGCCCCATTAGATCATGTGAGTGTGGAAAGTTTGACCATTCTGTTGTTCTTGTTGACGATAATACTGTGAAATATATATTGACCTATCATTCGAAGTGAAATTATTTAGGACTTACGATGAATAATAGTTAGAGGAAAACTTTTTGTCTTTCATGTTACCGTTCATTCATTTTATACTTCCTTACAATTCTATCACTTGAAAGCTGGACTTACAGTCGAAGCCACGATATTTGATCGACATGCCGCCGTTTTAAAATCGATCTTAATCAACACAACCAGACTTTGTTTAGACAGCGTCGCTGTAAAGTTTGTTGTTAGTCTAAGATCCTTCTCATAAGGCGGGGATTTTCCCGTTGCCATAAAAATCGGTACTTTCAGTTTTGGTCTTTTTAGTTATAGTTTCAATGATAATATCAGTAATAATGATAATATTTATAACAATGATATTAATTATTATGAGAAACTACAAAAACTACTATACAGTGCGACCCAGAAAAAACGAAACCGAGAATTATCGATGTTTTTATCATAACTTAATCACAATTATAATTAATAAACGACACATATTTGTAAAGCTTAGAGCCTCCTCTTTCACTTGCTGCAACTCATATGATGCATATTTCACGCATAAGTGAATAAAAGCAATTTGAAGGAAGGAAATCAAAAAGTCATTTGGCGGGCGGTATCTGAATTTCGAAGAAAAATTCACATTTCTAGAAAGTTCAGTTTCTGCTCTTTCATATGACATCTCAATCAGGAAAAATGAGCAAGGAATAACAAAGTTCTGTTTGCTTAAAGTGATGCTTGCATTTCATAATTTGATTTAAAAAGTTCGTTTTCATTGGATGCCTGCCGTAGCAACAAGCAGAATTGACAAAAGACTTAACTCCGTTATATTGACAATCAGCCATGCATGAAGTCTTTCGTCTTATTCTGATCGTCAACAAAACGGAGTTGCTGTGAATGCATTTTTGAATAATGTTACTATAGAATTTTACTTTTTTTAAAATAAAAACAAAAAAAACTAAATCAGATTTTAAAACTTTTTTAACAATTCCCAAGATGATGCACATTATATCGAATATTAAAATTGGAAACCTTTTACCCATGTTTTTATGCAGAACTTATCTTATTTTTATGCACTATTCTACATGTATCTTTTACTAAATTGGCCCAAATACAAAATGTTCCGCATTTTACCTACAATGTATAATTTGTTTAATTCATTATAGCATCTATTTGATTTTATAATTCTTTGATTTGGTTTCTGTTGTTGTCTCTGTTTCTGTTATTTGATATAAAACACCATAACCATACCATACCCATCTGGCTATGCATTTTCCAACCAAAACATTTAATTCTTTTGAATATCAAAAATGTATTACTATTCATATATTGTATAAGTTCAATATAAAATTTTATTGCAAATATGGTAATACAATTCAGATTTCTGTATATGTACCAACCAATTTGCCAAGGTCGTTGATGCACAATTATATATCATATGTGCAACAGAATTGCAATTTTCATATTGCTCCGATTGTCTCATTTTCGCTCGCGTGAACATTGCCAGCACAACACACTGACCTCTACCTCCTGGATGGATCATCGCCCATTCCCATTCACTATACGTTACGTACTAAAAGGCTGTATTGTCTGACCGTTCATGAAAATTCATGTTTTTGCTAAACTCGGCAAAATGTTTGCTTTTACTAAATGGAAAAATTACGGTGGGGGGTTGGATGAAATGGACATAATGAACATAGCAGAAGTGATAATTGATAATTCATGCTTCTTATTCTTCGTGTGCTTGACCTATAATCTTACAATCACTTGGCAGACTGAGTCAAAAGTTCGACTTGTTTCACATGTGTATTATAGGCAATGGCGAGCTTGCAACCTATTTTGAAAAATTACGATGGGTGAACTTTCAAAAGTCAATGAGACATGCGGGCTCCAATGAAAGAGCTGGTGATAACGTACGTCGGGGTGGATGTGCTTTTCGTTTAAACAAAAAAAAAAGAAGAATTTTTAACGATTTAAAAAAAAAAACGTCCATAGGCTAACATGTATGGCTGCTGACTCTGACGATAGGGGGCGTTGTGAAATGAGACTAACGGAGCTATACCATGCATAATGTTTTACGTGTAATTTTACTTTGTCACTGATGTATACTTTGTAAAAGAAACTGAAATTCGGCTCTCGGGCCGCGAATGTTTTTTAATGAAATAAACCATTTAAAAAATATATATAATTATATCTTTATACCTCCGGACAGCGATCTACCTGAGGTAAACTCGTGAAATTGACCGCCTAGGACAAATAACCCCGGATAAATTACATTTCGGATAAGTGCATAGTGATAAAATAGTCCGACAGGATAGTTCGAAGAGGAAGTCGTTTAGGGTGATAGTCACTATGAACATGACAGACAATGAAAGCGGACAAAATATACAGTTCCTCAGGTAAACAAAGGGACATCCCTTCACTGCTATTATGTAAAAATGTGTAGAACAGGTGTCACATGCATATTCACCTGTTCTACACATTTTTACACAATAGCAGTAAAGGGGTGTTCCTTTGTCTACCTGAGGAACTGTATATTTTGTCCGCTTTCATTGTCTGTCATGTTCATAGTGAGTGCACGGGTGATATTGTTCTGTTATGTACGCAATCAAAGGCGAGTCCACATAATAGAAATGCACCCTCTCTTGACTGGACCGAATCAATTCCGCACTACGTCATTATGTATGTTAATACATGTTACCTGTGTGGACGTGTCTTCACTGTGACGTAAGTTTCAGAAGAAAGAAGTTGCTAAAGTGCAGAGACATCGAGGATATTTAAGAGAGAAACAAAACGTCCAATCCTCCCTCCCCAATCCTTTTTTCAGACAGTCCCGGAAAGAGCAAAGGCCAAGTTTGAAAAAGAAAGAAAAATAAAGATGAATACGGGCCTACAACAAATATTTGTATGATGCCAGGTGGCTTATAGCCAAAAAATAGTCATCCATTAACAGATGGAGCATATTTTGGAGCCATTTTAACTTCCTCATTCGTTTCGCCACGGTGCCAGCACCGTATGTAGCAATAGACTATTCGATCAGTGTCTCGTTTGCCTAATGCATCACGCACATCTCTAGCACAGCATTGTAAAAGAAAAGTTCTGAGCGACGATACACAATAAAACTGGTAAATATTAAGTTTTAAACACCTTCCTTTTTCTTTCTTTTCCATTTTAAATGTTTCTTTATTTAATTTTAGGCAATTCCTTGTAAACTGGTCACCTTGGAAATGATACTTCGATTTTTGACATGACTCATAGTTCCTCACTGTTCACATAACTGGTTTCAGACGTCTTGGGTGTAAATTGTGTACATCAAACGGTCTTTTGTAAGATGTCTCTATTTAAAAAAAATGAACAAACCTAACTTTTGAAGTCCACAAATTGTTTTAGTTATTGTGTGCGAAACATAAGGGGAAGCGTAGTTCAAAATATTTGTTTTAGTTTTTGTTAAGAATGCTTATCACCAGTTTCTTCTCTTCTTTGCTACGAAAAAGAAAAAGCCGTTTCTGTGTTCAACAATTTTCAACTGTTTAACTGATTCAAATCAAGATTCAGAAGGTTGTTTTCGGTTAATAGTCAAGTCTGATAGAGCAGTTGTTATGACACCTCATTATTGCAGCATTGCCTGGATGTCTTACCAACTTGTCATGCCTTTCTTATGTATGTCTAGTCATTGTATAATATTTAGGAAAACAAATTATTAGCAACGAATGTTGCTAAATTTGAGCAACAAGGCGTTTGCCTTTGCGTCTCAGTAATACAGCCAGACTGTCGACCATGGCATAGAGTGGCAATTCACTCTTTCACATTGACGTAATCATTTCATGGTAATCTCAGGTTAGTCATGCAAAGTATCATAATATCCATGATATGCCGAGCATTTATTTTGTTTTTCTCTTTTCCTTTGTTCGACCACTATACATACATTTTAGTTTGACAGTATCTGCAGCTGAAATTCTTAATCTGCTGCAACGAACTTACATTAAAATAATTATTAATACTCTCTTACGTCTTTTCTTAATTTCATAGTCACAATTGATAATAGGCCTTTTAAATGTAAAAGATGACAACAGTTTTGTTGGGGTTTGAGGGGAAAATATAACTAAAAGTTACTAGTAGCCGATTTACTCAACTATCGATTTATTCCTTTGGTTTCAAACCTGCACATTCATATAGGTAATTGCCGCTTTTAACCATTATTGATGGCATGCTACGAATTCAAAGATAGCAATACATTTCCCCTTAAAAATGTTATCCCGATTTCCTCCATTTTCTTTATTTCTGGATAACTTACAGAAGTAAGCTACAACTGTATCACGTGCTTTCCACTGAGAAACTAGGAATGGGCATACTTATCTTCTTCATATTCGCAGGTAAACCCTCATAAAATTATAGTTTTACATACAAACACTAAATAACAATCGATTAAAATGTAGAATATACCAAAAAGATCCATGTTTGGGGCTAACATTTCCCGACATATGGACACGTACCATAAAGAATTATTCATTATGATAAACCGACTCTACAGCATCAACCGTATTGTTGTTGCTATGGTTATTGCTTGAAAGTTTGATGTACTTCTTTATGATTTCCGTCCTAAACATCGCAGTTATGCCGGCATATCTTTTTCTTTCTATCACCGTTTGAAAACTTTATACTCCTATATGATGTGTTGTATGATAATCCTTCTGAGTATACCTTTTTTTTAAATAACCAAATGAAAACTTTATATTTCTATTTGCTATGCTTGTATGATAATGCTTCTGAGTATATCTTTTTGTAAGTCACCATTTGATAACTTTATATTCCTATTTGCTATGGTTGTTTGATAATGCTTCTGAGTATACCTTTTTTAAAATAACCAATTGAAAGCTTGTATGACAATGCTTCTGATTATACCGTTTTTACATCACCATTCGAAAACTTTATATTCCTATTGGCTATGCTTGTATGATAATCCCCCTGAAGTTTGATATTCATACTGTTCGTTCAATTTTGCCCATGCAAAACATCATTTATTATTTTCACGAGACCGAATTCACAACATACACTACAGCTATATGTTGTTGATATCATTCTTTTATTCAAGAAAATTAGAATATAAACAAAGTAAACACAGTACAAATAAATCCAATATGGTTTAAGAAGTGAACCAACAAATAAAAACTATTTGACAAAGTCGTGACATAAACATGACAGTTAGAGCATGATTATAAATATAAAATTCCAACATCAATCATAATAATCATTATGATCTACGATTATGACTAAGAACAAGACAATTTAAACCCTTGGCATAATTTGAGTTCAGCATATAATCTAGCTTGAGTCAATTTGTCAGGCTCAACACTTCTAATTTCATTTTCTATAGCTCGAAAATGTATACTGGCTAAAATTGAGAATGAATGGCATTCAATTGGCTCAACATTAAAAAACAAAAAGGACTTGTTGTAAAATGTTACCCTCTTTTTGGTCTCAGGGTGTGCGACCGTGTCCAGTGCTGTCACATGCTATACCTGCCAAGAAGGCTATGTCCCCTTTGACCCAGAAGAAGGTCTTTTCGACTTGACCAACTGCTCTGCACCAAGCCGAAACAACGATTTCGTCGACACAGACACGAACTGTACTGGTACTTGTCTTGTAAGTTGAGTTGATAAGGAGTATTGGCAGTCGTTTCATCGAGAAAACAAAAATTAGACATGAACTTTCCTCTAATACGTAGAAAAATGTTTATTATGTAATAAATAAATCTTTGATAGGTGCATAGTTACAAATTATTCATTTTAGCTGTTACGAATGTTTGTGTGTCCTATAAATACAATTAATGTATGGAATTTCCGTTCTGACGGTTGAAATACAATTATACGTAACTTTTGAATGAAATATATTAAAAGGAACTTAACAAAGTTTTTTTTTTAGCATATTACGAGAATGGTCTATTGCGACAAAATACTACTAGTACTAGTATTGTTATTATGTTTAGTAGTAGTAGAAGTAGTAAGAGGTTATTTTTTATTGGCTTATTAAAAATACAGACCACGATTTCGCTGAGAAGTTCAAGTTCATACTACGAGGTCTCTCGGTCTTGTCTTGAGGGTTCTCCTTCATTTCTGACATCACAATGCGATATAGGGTGCACGACTCCATCCGATTGCAGACAGTGTTGCGACTCCGACTTTTGCAACGATGCATCTGTGGATGACATCATGAAGGAGAATCGAATGGGCCAAACTTGCTACGAGTGTCGGCACAGCGAGATACCTTACACTGGTAATTACAACCCGAGTTGTGGACTGGCTTTCGACCCAGAGGGCACGGCCTTGAGGTATTCCTTCTGCGAGGGTCTATGTTATGTAAGTATCAAAAAGCTTGGAAAGCTTGAAGGAGGAACAAGAAGGTTAGGCTAGCGTACAGGATACCCGATATCCCGGACGCGTTATTTTCTTCTGCGGCACAGATTGGGGCTTTAAAAAAAAAAGGGGGGGGGGGTCTTGATTTAACCCTAACCCTAACCCTAAACTTTCCCATAGGCTCAACACGCACCTAACCCCAATCTGTGCCGCCGAAACAAATCCCGGACACACTTTTTTTATTCTGCTGAATTCCACAAGTCAGGTATATATATATATATATATATATATGCAGATGCGGTGGGGCGGGGGGGGGGGGGGGGGGGTCACCACGAGAGCATAACATTTAACGAAGTGGCAATTAATAATTCTTATGACTACTTTGAAGTACAAGGGACATTCTTAGGTAGCACAATTCCATAATTAGGTTAGCATTTACAGTTGCGGAAATAAACGACAGTTCAAGAGTCTGGGAGAGGACTATATCGTTTATCATTATCATTTTATTATCATTATTATTATTATTATTATTATCATTATCATTAATACTTCTATTACTCATTTTATCATTACAGCTATTGTTATTATTATCATTATCATCATTATTATCACAGCATTATTACTACTCATTTTTTAATTCTATTATCACCATTTCCATTCTGTACGCAGAGTGCAGTCACGTTCATCGAGGGGGTAGAAGACGTTCAGCGTGGATGCCAGAGATTAGGAATCAGTTGCGATGATGCCAACCACCCATATAAGGACGACAAAAGCGTTAGTATCGGCAGTCTGGACTACGATATGAAGTGTTGTTTGGGTTCCCTTTGCAATGGGGGTCGGTCTGTTGGTTCTACCATGAGCATGATCGTACTCGCTTCTTTCTTGGCTCAGTTCTTGGCTCTAGCACTGTAATAAATAGAGGGAAATTCAATTCAACTGCCATACTAGATGTTTGCCAGAAACCCAGTGAAATTTGGATTTCAATGGGCTGTCGGTGAACCTTTAAAGGTACTATGTCCCATTTGCAGGCCCAAAAAATGAAAAGGTTAAATTCCAACTGCATTTGAAAGATAATACTAATTTAGAACTTCTCTACAAAAGATGGGGCTTGAAAATGTCTTCAAGTGGGAAAATAATGACTATTAGTTGTCAAATCGACTTAGGAGCTATAGAGCCCAAAAGTAATAGTCTTGATTTTCAGACAATTGTAGGCGAATGGTCATACGTTTTATGCTGCGCAAAGATTCAATCAGTTTAATCTTGGCCATCACAAGAAGTGGGTTATTGATGTATATAGACAAATGCTCATGTACCCTTTACAACTCTTTTCATGTATGTTATTACCAAAGAGGAAATAAAACCAGTCAGTCACTCAATAGTGTCTGACAGTGAAGTCTAGCAAGTAAACAGGTTTCCTTGCATCATTTGAATATGAGGACACTGCTAACGTTTAAATTTCACAGATAGGACATACATGACATATTCATAATTCCTGCAAAGTTCTACATAATTTGAGGTTGGCTGCAAAAGGGAAATAGTACCTTTAATAATGACGGTTTCGTGGAAATATGCCCAGATAAAAAATAGACCAAATAAAAACATTAAACCGAATGGTCACTTTGGAGTCAGCTTGGAGGTCTGACTAGGCTGTAGATTAGATCAAACAAAGTTTGTAGATGTCGGAATCGTCAGAACCTCGGATTTATTTTCATTGAGACGAGACAATTCGAGGAAAAGAATCAGGCGCGTTTAGGATCCAAAATTTTAAGTGGGGGCACAAGAACACAATGGGGAGGGGGGGGGCGGTGTATGCATACATTTAATTTTGTTATAAGAATTGACAGTTTTAACTTTTAAATTGTGCACAAGAACACAAGGAACAGGGGGTGGGGTAGGTATACAATTTACATTTTTTCAAAGGTATTGACCGTGCTCCCTAAGTCTGCCACTGGATAAAATATATAATGGATGTTCCCCTTTTAACGAGAAAGAGATTTTTTTATCTCAAACCTCCCAGTTATATAGTAAAGCATGTTTTTAATAATTACATTGAAGCAGTAAATAAAAGATCTTGCATTTCAAGTTTCCTCTTAGTATAACGAGCAATTTAAACGTAAGACATCACAAGCATATTACTCAGAACTTCAAAGTATTTACACTTTTTGTAGCAAATCTGTTATTTTGTTAGTGTATTTATAATTTGAATTTACTTATTAATTCGTAAATCATGAAAACTTTACTTTTGTGCGGTTTTATAATCTTCATATTATAACAATAATAGGTGCTTGTTCGTTATAGCTTTTGTATGTCTATCATATGTTTTGTGAATACTGATATCATTGCATATTTTTTAAAAGTGACAAATAAGTTGTTGTAATCAGGATTTGGACATATTCCGTCATCATATGTGTTCAAATTCCAATAATCTCCACGCTAGTAAATCGTGTTTTGAATAAGTGCATTGAAGCAATAAGCAATATACCTTAGGTTTAAGGTTTTCTTTAACTGTAACGAGTAAATCAAACTTTAGAAATATTACTCAGAACTTCAAAGTATGTATACTTATGGAGCAAATCCGTAATTTTATTGGTGTATTTACAATTTGAATTTGCTTATTAAATCAAGAAGACTACACCTTTGTGGGGTTTTCTCTTTCTTTATGTATGGATTTTTTTTCGCTTCATATCTCATGAATGACATGGTTAATGACAATGAAATTTTCATGACAGGCATAATTATTGAGCCTTACGTGCGTGACGTCATCTAGGCGCCATTTTGATTCTTTTTATCATTGACCATATTTCCGTCATACATTGTCATTTCTGAATGATATTTGATATGCTTAAACTTGACGTCATGGGTAAACTTTTAATTACAACCAGAGCGCTTCGTGGCGGACGCTTTCGCGTCCATCGAACTTTAACATTTGTCAAAGTGCTTATTGTACCAATTTACTACACGTTTCAGACCTTTTTGAACATTTAAAACAATTGGGCGAGCTTTTTTGCGTGTGCAGCCCGTACTGAATGTTTTAATTTATATTTGTCACTTGTATTGTGTTGCTGATACTTGTCGTAGCAATTTGAAATCACTTTTAGCTATTATTGACCTAAATCATGAAGTTACTAGCTATTAACTCCATGCCTAAATTTAGCTCATATAGATATTAGTTAAACCTCATTGACGCACGCGCGCATTATGTTAAAAATTGCCAAAAGTGTTAAAAAAGGACCTATTTTGAATTCGCTATAACTTTTTAGATTTTCAGGTTAATTACCCCAATTTTTCTTTCATCTTCTGATAGGGTATGAATTGGGGATGAAATTCATGTATCATGTTTGCTGTTAAAATGCTTGGACGTAAACATAAAGCCACTTAAAGGGCCACTCTAACCAAAAACGGGCTAAAAATGAGAAGAAAAAAAAAACATAATGTAGAAAAAAAATTGACGGAGATTCCGAACATGACAAAGATTTTTCTTAGAATCATCAATCATTCTGGAATCTACCTTAAAAAATGACGACTCAGAACGCTTAGGAAAAAAGCCCAGTTTCGGAGCTGTATTGCGCAATAGCACATTACGTCACTGCAGGAGCCTCTCCGGTGAAAAGGAGGGTGATTTAGGCATTAAAATGTCTTTAAAAAGGCAAATTATGATATTAATTGAGAACAAAAGACATTTATCCGAAAAAAATAATATGCAATTGATAATTCCAGTACGTTTCTGACAATATCGTCATTCCTAATTATGAATTACAATGATATTGTAAGATCCTTAGTTGTGGGACAAATACAAGGACATTCCCGCAATGACGTCAAATGCGTCATCAAGCCACGTGACAGTATTACTTTTTTTTTCGAGGGGCGTAGTCCATCAAGCGTGAGATCTGTGAAAAATGGATGGTTATTATCATTTTTTGGTCAACTTAGAGATTTTCAGAAAAATCAGAGGCTGGCATATCAAGAAGTAGAGGTGTATTCATGTTTTAAAAGGCTATGTTAGTTGCCGGGGTTAGAGTGGCCCTTTAAAGGAAAACGATTGAACTTGATTCGATTTGACGATTAGGTAATATTTGCTGTTGTTGTTTTGAAAATATCTCGTATATACCCCTACTCTGATGTCCTCAAATAGCTGAGACCTTACTCTACAAATCGTGGTCAAAATTCCGTTTGAAGGTGAAGACTCCAAAATCTGCAATTATGGTTTCTACTTGTACGTGCTATCTCCCATTTAAATACACTGGGCATGTATGAAAACGCTTGAGTAACGATGGGTTCCCGAGATTTTGGGAATTGGCTTCATTAATACCCATGCACTCCTAAGGTAACATTTCGCGCCACCCCTACCCCCTACCCCTCCACCACCACCACCACCACTACAAGCGTTTTCCGATTTCAGTATCCAATAGGATAAAGACCTCCTTCACATTATTCATCCAGATAATAGAATCGTATCAAATGGTGATGATAACTTCTGATTGATTGTTTTGGTGATGATAACTTCTGATTGATTGTTTTGAATATATACTAAGTGTACTTTAGTATGAGTTAAAGTGGTGGAAACACATAAGGACTGTGAAATGCATATATTAAAGGTACTATGTCCCTTTTGAAGCCATTCGGTACAATGGCCTGAAAATCAAGACTATTACTTATTGGCTCTAAAGCTCCTAAGTCGACTTGACAACTAATAGTCGTTATTTTCCCACTTGAATACATTTTAAAGCCCCACCTTTTTTTAGGGAAGTTCTAAGTTAGTATTATCTTTCAAATGCCGTTGGAATTTATCCTTTTCATTTTTTTGGCCTGCAAATGGGACATAGTACCTTTAAATGTATTTACAGACAGAAACTATAATCACTTTAACAATAGCAAGCAAATTTTAACAAAATACATAATCAGTCAGAATATATAATTTATTACAATCACATAGTGATCAATAGATAAACAACATTTCACATTTACCACCGTTTAATATCTAAAGAATATGTTCACTGACATTTATCTGGAGATAAATCCTAGTACACAAATCTTCGGGAGGGTTCACTTTTCATTTTCGATGAGTATATTGCGAGCCGAACAAGGTCTTAGCATATGTTGATATTCATTTCCAAAGTGCAATGTGAACTTGAAACCCTTATGCACACATCGTTTCAAAAGAGTTGCAGCAATGTCTTAACCATTTAAATTTAATGACAATACAAATATTCCTAATGAGTGCCCACGTACAGGTGTATTTACCTTTCCCATGCATTAGACAATATTGTGGATCAGGAAACACCATGCACTATTCTCCAAAGTCTGAATACTGGTATAGAATGATTTAAAGTGAAACCATCTCTTTTTTATGCACATTTTATCAAACAAAGTCAGTAAATATGTCAAACGTGCGTCTCAGAAAATGAAACTAACATGAGTCAAGAAACCTTAAGGTGAATAGTTAATTGATTCAATGAAGTCATAAATATAGGTTAATCAAACATTTGATAACCTGCCAAATTCATTGTACAGTATTATTGAACAAAGGGAAAACCCCTAAAGAGGCCCACATCCTCAAAAGAGGTAATATAAACATGAAATCTTTAGCAAACACCATTTCATAAAAATTATGATTGACTGCTTAAAGTTAACATTTATTGATGATTAAATTTATTAGTTTGATACGTATGCGATTGCTCACAGAGAGAGAGTATGAATAGAAAAATAACTATAACAAAATCAAAAGGAAAACCTTCTTTTAGCACACTACTTGACAAACACTTTCCTCTAGATCTCTCAATAATTTTTGTTTTTAAACTTATTTATTGTGCTGTATTTGAGCTCCAAAGCCTGTTAACATCCCTCGCCAAGTGCTATTGAAAATGAAATGTGTGTACCAATGCTGGTACAGCGAATATATATATATATATATATATACATCTTACAGCGTCATTAGGCGGACATATGAGGTGAAAGAATGAGTTAATATCAAAGGTACTATGTCCCATTTGCAGGCCAAAAAAAAAAAAGGTTAAATTCCAATGGCATTTGAAAGATAATACTAATTTAGAACCCCCTTTACAAAAAGGGGGCTTGAAAACGTCTTTAAGTGGGAAAATAACTACTATTAGTTGTCAAATCGACTTCGGAGCTATAGAGCCAATAAGTAATAGTCTTGATTTTCAGACCATTGTACCGCATGGTCGTACGTATTATGCTGCGCAAAGATTCAATCAGTTTAATTTTGGCCATTACAAGAAGTAGGTTATTGATGTAGACAAATCCTTTACGGCTCATTTTATGTATGTTATTACCAAAGAAGAAAAAAAGCCAGTCAGTCACTCATTAGTGTCTGACAGTGAAGTCTAGCAAGTAAACAGATTTCCTTGCATAATTTGAATATTAGGACACTGCTAATGTTTAAATTTCACAGATAGGACATACATGACACATTCATAATTCCTGCAAAGTTCTACAGAATATGAGGTTGGCTGCAAAAGGGACATAGTATCTTTACGTAGACATGGTCATTAGCACGACATTTTTGTGTCCTGTTTAAACGATGGAACTATAGAATCCCTACCCTCTACGTATGGTTGCAGGCAGAGGAAACTTAAAGGGTTCCCAAGAAACAATGGGTGGTATTCCGGTAGCGCGTACTAAGTTAGCGCGTACTTAGTTAGTTCACACTTCTATGGAGTGCCTGTTGCAGACTAATTTACCCTGTACAGATTATTTTAATCCTTCAATGAAAAGTGTTCAAAAAATTAATTTTGCAATGAAATGGGAAGAAAAAGATAATATGAGTATAAACTGAATTTCAACAAAGTTTTTGGTAGATTATCTTTGTCATGAATATTGAAGGAGGAAGATGAAACCTAGCATTCCATAGAAGTGTGAACTAAAATTCTTGTTTAGTCTGGACTTAGTCCCGGTTTAACTTATGAGAATACCACCCAACAGGTTTAATCATTAGTCATGAGTTTAATTGGTTACGGGTATATTGTTTTAAATTTGGGGTTAGGGTAACATACCATTTTTTTTTAATGGTATCTGGTTAATGTACCATTTAGGGTTATATATAGATGTCCTGTTAATACAACATGTAAGGTTTTATATATATATATATATATATATATATATATATATATATATATATGAAGAGCTTAATTCCAAAAGGAGCTAAATCCACTTTTGATGAACATCGAGTTATCAATATCAGAACACTGTCAGTACCCGTCTATTAACAAAATTATTTACCTAAACTTTGGGAGCAATTATGAAAAAATTCACCTTCTAATATCCCTTTTCCCTAGACCCCTGTACAAAATCTGGTAAACAATGTCTTTTTTCTCTGAAGTTAAAAAAATAGATTTAGCTCCTTTTGGAATTAAACTCTTCATAATCTGTGTGTACATATATAAACATGTATGTCAATCAATCTCACTCACTCCAAGCGCTTGGAAATCTAAAGGTGAGCTGTAGCTGCTACATGTACATTTCAGGATTTCCATAATAATCTGTCTGTGGATTAAATGCACATGTGCTTTCTCCCTTGGATATACAAATATATAAATATCTACTATTTTTTTAATCAAAAGTGACATCTGCATGCATGTAAGTTCTTTACTTTTCAATCACAAAGACGTTATTTATATGAGGAAGAGCAGGTTTCTGCCCATCATCTTTAATTACCATATTTGGATAATTTCAAAAGTCATTGAAGTTCCCTTTTTTGCTACAGATGGATGATAAATATTGAAGATTTTTATTTGAGACTTTTTTTTTACCTTGTCTACAAATTTTCAGATCAGATAACATTTTAAACATTGATCTTCCATGGATAACTAAATTCTAAAATGTGTCCCTGAATATACAATTAAAAATTGACTAATGAAAATAGACTAAAGGTATGTAGAAAAAGGCCTATACACCTCCTTCACATTACATGTACATTTACTCCTTTTATACATGTACTACTCAAATTTGCAAGGTTTTATGCAAATGATCATATTTTTTAAAAACCACTGCGATATATCCAATCAAAGCTTCACCCAACGATATACAAATTTATTCTAAACAGTTATTCAAACTGTTAATTAGTATAGAACTGGCAGCGCAGCTTTTGAACTTAAGAAAAATTAACTTGCCCATGTCTTTCGAAAGTGCATAGAGAAGAAAATGTCAGGCTTGCCTGTTGGGGGAAAGTGCAGTTTTGATTTGCTTGCCCCAGCAGATTTTGGTTGTCCTAGGCGAGCTAAGGAATGGGATTCTACTACCACTGTCACCTCATGGTGCGGATTTCATGATCATTGCAATTAGTACCTCAATGAACATGACAAAGAGCATTAGGTTTCAATTACCATCCTAATTGATTGTTATATACATGAAGTTGTATACAGCTGACGACTAGATTTAAGGAAATTAAGGTAGTAACAATTGACAGTCTCAATCAATTATTGGACTGAGGTCTTTGGACAAAGACAAAGACAGCTTTTCTACAGATGTCCTGTAGATAACAGTTGTATTTTTGGCAACTTTTCTGAAGAAAATCAAGTTAGAAGGAATTCCAACACTCCATGAATTAGTGGACTGATTCCAAAGTCCAAAGACAACCTGTATCGTTGATAATGGTTACATTTGCTGTGTATATATGCTCTCAAAAGACATGGAAGGTGGTCATTTATTCATAATTTGCACTTGATTTTCCATTCCAAAAGCATAACGATCAGCTTTTGTATGAATACAGTCAAACTGTTCTCTTAATAAAAAAAAAAGTTTTCCAAAACCCTTCTAGCTATCTTCCATGTTCTCTGCCGCAGTGCCGGTGCCTGCTATCCTGGGTATGATTCCGTCAAAGTTGGGCTGGGGGTCATAGGTTATCATAGCTTGACTGGACAGGAGTTTGTCGATGATTGCGATCTCCTCGCTCCTCTTTGGTATATCCTTCTCGGGCGTCCATGACATGTCGTACTCCATCTTGTAACATCCGCAGTACTCATGTGGACAACTGCTTCCCCACTCCTGTAAACAAAAAATTAAAGATAGAAAAAATAGGTAACCATACGATTTATCGACTGCACACTCATCAAAAGTGAGCATCATCATAAGCTGGGATGGTTATCTGGGGGCGTCTCATGAAACCGCCATAAGTTCTAGTTCAGCGACATCCCATTGAAATGCATGGTTTAAGTTTAACTCCTGAGACGCAGCCTTGAAGTTGATTTTATTATCTAATTCAGTAAAAATGACTTGTATTTTGTATTTGATCTTAATGAGAATTACTTATAAAGGCCTACTACTTCATAAAATGTAAGTAATGCACCACCTATCAAAAGTATTTTAGAATCTGGCATTCAAAGATTTGTCTATTTAGTCATAACCAATCCTGGGGGGCATTTCACAAAGCCTTTTTTTTCAAAATAAGAAATATCAGTGACAAATCTGCTGATAACCAATCAGAAGCAAGTTTTTCAGTAGCTTATAACACAAATTGTAATTTGTCACTGATGACAAGTTTTGTGAACCCTCCCCCCCCTCCCCTGCTGTATACGCCATGCCTCCAATTGACCCTAGGAAGCGAGGGGAGGTCATCATCATCATGTACATCCTATGTGAAAATCAATCTCACTTTATGTGATAGCTATTAGTTTTCTTGTCTAGAGGTCTGGGGGTGTTTTACAAAGACTAAGATCTAATTTAAGTTGACCTAACTATGGCAGGCCGTTCATGCCACTAGATCCTTTAACAATTCCTGCCATTCCTAGATGAAACTTACCTCAGGGGAGAGGATCGAGAAGTACTTCTGCCCCGAGTCCCTCATGTAAAGGTAATACCGGTGTCCCGGCCTCTTCTTTATGTTGCATGCGGCGTGATGGAGATCTGCATCCCTCTTGGCCTCCTCTAGGACCTTCTTAGCTTGCTCCTGGAGATGTCGAATCTGCTCGGCTATCGTCATCAGTCGATTACCTGCATTGGCCCTCACAAACTCATCTGCCTGAAAAAGTGACGATGTAAACTCTTCAGTTATTTTTTTTGTCTAGATGTATTAAAATAGCACTTTATTGTGTTCATTTAATTGACAGTATTCAAAGGTGTAAGATGTGCTTTGTCTATTATGGACAGAAGCCCCAAAATCTCGTCAGGAGGAGATTAAGTCCCATCCCACCCTCAAAGTCTGTAATAACATGCTTACTATCATTTCCAAGGGAAGTACCTATGATAACTTTAGGGAGCAACATACACAAGGAAGAAGAAATGAGAGTTTTCATACCGGAATCCCTAACATAAAAAGTATTTTGAGAAAGAAAAAGATGCTCCAGATTCAAGTCATCAAACGATGTTCATTCTGATTCACACTAGTTTTGATGTTTCTTTTTTTTAAAGAGCAACTATACCCGTACATTTTTCCTGACCAGTACATTGCCAATATATCCTTTCAAGTAACTACCATGAAAATCTTGATTTTGATTGGCTGTTGAGCCCTGTTACCATGGTAGTTGCCAATGATGGCAAAGTTACCATCAATGGTATGTTTTATGCAACTGGGCCCACAGGTACAAGAGCAGCACAAACCCAAAACTTTGCCTGCCTAACCTGTGGACGTCTCTCTGCCTGTCCAAAATTGGCCTTTCCAGCTATCAAAGGAGGCACAGGAGACTCCAAAACCAACCGGTGCAGTAACTAGGCATCCTTGAAATTGAAGCGTTAACGATCAGTGCTCCTGAAAAAAAAGTTTTCTTACCTTCTGTACTTGTCTTGCTAGTTCAACAAGATCTGTTGGATCTTCTGGGGTGTTTGTGCGATCTGAGTGAACCAGCGTTACACCCATTGGGGCACGGTTGCTCTCGACGAGCGAAACTGAAAGAGGTATAATAGGAGAAAATGAAATACATATTTAGATAAATATGAGGGGAAGTCCAAGGAATTTAGTCCCTTTTTCCCAACCACACCTAACATTGTAGCATATATTTGATTAATAATAATAATAATAATGATAATAACTTTCGATTTATGTAGCGCATATTAATTAACAATTAATTATCTATCACTCTATGTGCTTTACATTAAAAGAGTACGCTAACAATCTACATCAACATATATAAGAGGACAAATAACACTACTGCATGTATATGTAAAACAACACATCAAAACATGAATTGTTACACTACTGTTACTGTAAGAAAAGGTCTGTCCCGAGACCCGAGGGCTCTCCATCTCCCAAATTGAAAACTTACCAGTAGCTAACCAAAGAACAAAAGAAAAAACATCAACAACAAGGCAATTTTCCCTGCTTAATTTTGGTCTCTCTGAGTGCAGTAAGCCTATTAGCTTTGGGGTAATTTTTCATGAGAAATCTGTTCGTGTATTTATTTGGAGCACAGGTAATCCATTTCGGTAAATGTAAGTACGGTAATGGAAATTGGTGTCCCAGGTACTGTAGGCTCCCCAAAATCGTTACAAAAGTCTATGAGTGACATTAGAGACCCTCTACTGTCTTGAGTCATGTTTTTTTTCCTCCCTCGACCCTCTCTAATTATTTTGTCTTTCTTCTCCCCCCCCCCTCCTTCTCTTGAACTCTTCCTGCTTCCTTCTTTCTTCTCCTTCTTCTTCCTCTGTAAATGCTACTTCATACAACAAAGATTACACACTGCAGTGTGTTGTGTGCCATGTCCAAAATGTGTGTAGGCCTCAATCCAGGTGCAAAATATATATACAGTGATGTGCTGTTAAAAACGTGGACAGCGGTGTGCTGCCATCAGTTTGACGCTTCCTTCAAATTCAATGCCTTTTTAAAGGCATCCAGAGAAAGGAAGAGGAAGTCTACAGGATCCTTCTTTTTTTCCTTTGTAACACTACAGGCCCGTTCTGATATGAGGTAGAGGTTTAGCTTGAAACCGCAAACCGGATCCGGCTTGGCCGGCAATTTTCCAAATTTTTGATGTGATAAACCACTGGGAAAAAAAGTTTTTGTTACATGTAAATGAATGGGAACTGCATGCAGCAAAGCCTGCAAAGATTCATTCTTCTTTTAGCTCTTGACTTGTGTTGTAAGATATTACAGAAATGTTAAGCATATCATTATTACACTTAATTGCTTCATTATATTTTTTTACGCTTTGGGGTTTGACTTTCGGCTTCCATAAACATCATCACAGAAATCACTCACTGACTCAGTATTCAATCTTCAGTTCAGACATCACCATTTCTCTTCACAATTAATCAATAAACAGATGAATAAAAAGCCTGAAAAATGTTGATTAATAGGTCTTGGTTTTGAATCTAGATACCATTTTGTCGTCCAAGACCAAGATTTTTAAAGATTTAAAAAGTTGAACATGTAATGGTCAGAATGACTACACTTTTGTTGAAATAGGGTCAGAGTGCCTTGCCCTCGCCCTGTCTTTTATTAGTTTCACAACTACAAGTACAACTACAAGGTCGTCTTACAAACAACACTGAGCTGTGCAACAATCAATCGCAATCGAATCCAGACATTAATAAATGAGCAAACAAAAATATATACACGGCGGACTACAAAGGGATATTTAGTCCAACAAATATCGAATACAAAATGTGAAAAATGTACTTACTTGTTGTAACTTTTGCCATTATTTGTAGCCTGAGAGATGAGGAGTTTGAGGCGAAAACGTCTATGTCTTCTGGTCAACGTGCAGGGTGGCATGCGCTTGTGGGCAGTTCTGTTTGACCAAGGGATTATAACAAAATCGTTTACGTAATCTCAAGTTACGTCACTTAAAAGAACCTATCAACCAAAATGTAGCACACTCGCAACAATTTATTCCACGGTGTCTTTGAAAGAACAAAATTAAAAAAATTATTTCAATAACGTCGAACTTGGCATAGGCCTATATGCCAGGCACTAATTTAGTACGACTAATATATTTGGCCTATTAATATGAAAAATCAATTGATTTCGGACTCAATCACGTAAAATCAGTATAAGTCATGGAGATAGGAATATAAAGCTCCAATATGATGGCCAGTCATGTCAGGGCAGATACAATTTTTCGAACATGCAGTGCCCGAGGGCAGGCGCGGATCCAGGATTTCTTAGGGGGGGGGGGGGGGGAACTTTCATGCCATGGTATGTGCGTTTGACTTGGGACGGGTGCATGAAGAAGAGGTTCACATCGGGTAAGAATTCACTGAATGTGTAGCAGAGGTGACCTTAATTCCATACTTGATGTGAACACAACTGCTCTAGAACCATCCACAATTAAGAAATCTGGGTTCAGGCTTGGCACCAAAACGTATATAAAAAAAATAATGTGTATCAATTGATATATTTAGAAAATCGCGCCGGCGGGGGGGGGGGGGGGGGTGGTTAGTGAGCACAATTTTTTTGTTGGCCCTCGAAAATTTGAAAAATCGAACCCCCCCCCCTTGAGCGTCAAGGGGGGGGGGGGCATCTCCAAATCTCCAAAAAAGGGTAAAACCAACATATGTTTTTACACATTTTTTCCAAGGGGGGAGGGGGGGGGGGGGTACTCCACATTTTAATACATATGAGTGTGTACGTGCCGCTCTAATGGGTTACTTTTTCACAAAAATATCCCTAAACATGGGTCCGTTTCCCAAAATTTCAAATTTTTTCAGTTGTTTGCATGTCAAACACAAGTCTATCCGATATGTGTCAGGGAAGTATACTAATAGCATTATGTCGCAGACTTACGAGAAAATCGGGAGGCTTACCGTAAACGAATGACTACCCGGTCGTAACTTAATTCATAATCATTGCGAAATACTGGTTAGTCCAGAATCGACTGGGTGATTTAATTTTGATCTCCACCACACTGTACCAACGAAAATATATATATTCAAATATTAATATGCAGCGCTAGGATGGCTAGGTTAGGAAGAAAAAAAGATGCCCCCTGGACCGGGGGGGGGGGGGTTCGAGGGGGGGGGGGGGGTGCAGTGCTAGCTGCCCGGGCATAATGTGCCTTCCTCACTTTTTAATAGGGATCCCCAACCATATAAGTCAGTTTTTTCCTCGGGAATGAATGGCCAGTATGGCAATCAACGGGGCAGTCAACTTCAGAAGAACTTGAAGTATTGCTATAGCCAATAATGGAAAATGTGTGTGTGTATTTCAACATAAACTTTGATCTAATTTCAGATGTGCCATTCTGCGAAAGCCCCAGAACTAAAAAGTGAACACTGCTCTTTCAGCAATCAAGCTTTTTATATACTTACTTAATTAGTGTTTGGTAGGATTGTCCTCCAAAATACTCTTCGTCTTAGTTTTAACAGGAGCTAATTAGAGTAACTTAGATGGATATTTGATTTTAAAGAACCTTGAACAATCATGTAGAATACAAATCTCATTATTTAGACATCGGAGGATTTTTTTTCTTTCTTTCTTTGATATTTGTAGATACCATAGTTTTTGTTGTTGCTGAATTCAGTTAGCTAGTCACGTTTTGCTACGCACGAGATAGCTCAGCCCGGTTGATGGGACGTACGGAGCATGCATAAAGGCCCCTTGAGTTACGGGCGACAGGAACAGAGGTATATCGCTAAGTTGTCTTCGAAGTTCGAGCCCGAGGCCGCGGATTTGGAGCCCGCTTGAACTTGAAACGACTGGTTTTGGATCTGAATGTGGGCTGCACTGTGACTTTGTGAGGGAGAGAGAGAGTGTGACAGTGAGTTAGCATGTTTATCAATTTTCGGTTGAGGCAGAGCGAAAATTTACTTAGATTAGTGTGGTGTGGAAGCCATCAGCTGCGAATAGTCACAGCATCATCATTATTTTTTATGATTTTTATGATTTTTATCATTTTACTTGCACCATAAACATGTATATATTTCGGCAAAAATTTACACAAGCCGTCCACCGTCGGCAAAAGATCACCCTTGTCTAGATGCTGAACAGGCTTTGACAAGTAGTAGAATAGAAGTAGAACATAGAAGTGGAATTGAAATTCCATGAAAGCTTCAACTCAAGAAAATTGAATAAATGAATTGCAATTTCATTTTCAGATTGTATTGCTCAAATGCACACGTTCGTCCGCAACTTCAAAATTGTCTAAACAGACGCAAAAGACAGCAAAATTTGCCGAGCTGTTGTCAATGTTTTCATAATTTCAAAGAAATTTAAACCCAATTCCTAAGTTAATGTCTCTTGGTAATTTTAATCTTTCCATTGATGATATCATTATCACTAGATTCTATCATATTCAAAATCTTACAGATTTTTAAAATATGGAACTGTCCGCGAATTACGGTTACCCGCTAACTGTTAGTTTATAGTCGCTCCACCATTTACATGTACCTCATATACTAGTATTCAGGCATCTCATTATCAAATAGAAGGATATTCAGGCACCTATTTGCCCAAATATGGATGTATTCAGATGCATGTACTTCACGGTCTGAAATTGTCCTGTTTTTTTATTTCCTGGGTAGTGGGTGAGTGAAGCGAGCGAAGAAGAAGACATCTTATCTTCTTCAAAAGGTTACTTCCTCATGAAAATACATAGCGTTTCTATACCTTGAATACCTTGAATACCAAAGCTTCTGGAAGAAAGCCGTCTTCAGCTGCCAAGCTTCCTTCCAAGTCTAACTTCTAACTTCTATTATTTTTTGTTGTCACGAAACCGACCCTATTTCAAAATAAATAGTTGCCATATAACTAATTTCTCTTGCAGCACCCTGGTTGAAAAAAACTGATATAGCCTATAGGCTATGCTATTAAACTCTAGCTTGCCCTCAGGAATTAATTGCCTCTGGAATGGATCCCAATCACTTTCAATAATCTGGGAGTGGGACATGTTATTCATGTTTTCAAAAGTAGACGTGTAACGGACGGTACACCTAGCAGGTCTGGCTAAATCTATAATATGGTTTTGGAAACCACTCGTTTATCTGCATGCTCACATTTGTCTGTAGTGTCCATGGTTATGGAGTGGGAAAGAGGAGACGGCTAAGTGTGTGACAAAATGAGAAGAAAAAATTGAATGGTGGTTTCCTATTTATCGATGATGCCACAGGTATCACATGCCCTAGGCTAGTGTCTCTGGAACTTTCACTATCTAAATGTCTTTGTTTAACTATTCACAAGGTAGAGGCTACTTAATTTCCATCTTTAATGAACTCCAAATTTGTATTAAAGTATGGTTATCTATTTGTAAAAGCCTTTTAATTAATTTTGATCAGATATTGTTGGTAAACTTACACTGATTGTGTAGATACTATATAAGTGCTAATCTAATAGTGATCCATTTCTTTATTTCTTAATTTTTTTCTCTTAAACCAATGCCAAATTAATTATCGCTTTTGCATTGGTTTTGTGGCATAATTTATTGAAGATATACATTTTTTTGCCTTGAATATTGAATATTCTCCTATTTGTTTGTTCTTTCCATATTTTATCTTCAGATTTACATCAGTGGGACACCAACAAATCAGAATGCTGAAGCGTATTCTTTCTAAAAACTTTTGTGCTCTCCAGAATGCTTTGGGTAAGGATCTGTATTCATTTATTTTAATGTCACATCAAAATCATTAAAAGGAATTCCATTGCTGGTCTGTCTTTCCATTTTAAGGCTTTGCAGCCCACCCCCCCCCCAAAAAAAAAATCAAGTGCCAAATGAAAAAAGTTCTTTCAATGACATAAGAACATTGATAAAATGTACATTTAGATATTCTATATATTTTTGTCAGAGTAAAGATTTTTTCTTGATTTTTTCTCTTTAAATTCAGTGTGTGTTCCTGAAATTTAACATAAGTAGATGAACTTTATAGTAAGATATCATGTTACAATATTGATGAAGGTGTCATGGTCTGGTGGATTGTGGAAACATCACCAGACTGTGAATCACATCGTTCATAGTTTCAGTTCTACCATGGAACAAACTTACTGTACATGTATGTCATTTGACAAGTCATTAATTTTACATTTGCCACTCTCCACTCAGGGGTTGTAAAGGGGTACACAGCAGGAAGAAATCCCTTGAATGCTGGAGCATCCTGTGATAGCTTGAATTTAGCTGGGGTAATAATATAACGTACAGGGCCTTCAGGGAGAACAGTGATACTGATGAGGCTACCCTGGGTAAACAAGATAGTACTACATTGATCTACATTTGCCACACTCAACCCAGGCGATGTAAATGTGTACCTGGCAGGAATTAATTCCTTGAAATGCTGGAGCGCTGTAATGGCAGCTAGGCTAACGCCGGCGTAATAATAAATGCGCCCCGAAATAGAATTTCTAGAGAGACGAGATGGCACTTAAAAAATGCCTGTTATTATTATAACTATTATTACGAACAAGACAAACAATTAATAAATGCATTATGATTGAAAACTCTTCTCTCTTCCGTATTGAAATTTAAATCCTTTAGGTACATCATGGAATGTCCAAGCATCGAGATGCCTGGGCCACACATCTTCTACGGTGAACACAAGCAATCCACCAAAGAGGCAAGAAACACTGAAGGTCCTTTCACCAAGCTTGTCCGCAGTTCTTGTCAACAATCCCAGCAGTCGGCAGCAGCAAGGGACATGTCCTGAGACCCTCGGCCGGCTTCTCTCCAGGCTGTCACTGTCACCTGAGGAAGCGGTTGCAACCATCCAATATACCTTGCCGACAAGGTCGCCAGTGGCTCAAGTTGCGATCTTAGACCCTGTTGCAAGTGTAGCAATACCCTGGGACTGTCCAACTGCTGTTACTGAAGACTCTCTCGATGTACCCTCTTCCCAAAGAGTGGATGTCTTCATCGATGACCCTGCCACGAACCGTGGGGTCGCAAAGAAGGCTTCGAACATTCTGCAGAAGAGGCACAGGAAGATGAAGCGACATCAGTACAAGAAGTGGCGCAAACGTAACCGCTTCAAGCTGCGCATGCAGAAGCAACGGAGGCGCAAGAAACAGAAGGCAAGGTGGGAACGCCATCTGAACAGGTTTCGGTTCGCAGAATTGAAACCGTCGGAGGGGCAGCAATACCTGGCAAAGAAACAAGAAAAGCTACATTTGTACCTGAACTACCATGGAGTGGATGTTGATGATGGTAGTGCGCGTAAAGAGATAAGTCCTGAAGAGAGCAAGAAGAGGCAAAAGAAGGGACCTATCGGCACTTGTGTTATATCTTCTCAAGGGACAGGTAGTATAACACCTAAACCACTTGTGCCAGTGGGCGTAAAGCTGTAATGCTGATGAGGTATCATTGTCGGTTGTGCGGCATATGCTCTGGCTTCAATATCTCTGCGGTCAAGAACCTACACTCACTGAATTTATAACTTCAGCCCTAGACCTGACACCATACCCCTAACCATAACCAAACCCTAAACCCAACACAAAACCAAATACTTGAGCATACTTTTGCTCTTGACAGACAGTGTATGGTTGGAGAGTAAACCATTAACTTCATATTGAAAAGGGGTACCAGTATTCTCGAGTTTGTATTGAAATTACAAAACTTGATTTCTGAAACAAGCAATTATTGTGACGTAATTAGGGAAATGTTATTTACCATGTTTTTTTCCATTTAATATTGAATGCAAATGCAAAGGTCCACAGCATCCAAACTGTACTGTGTTAAAATAAATAAAAGAAGAAAAATCAAAGAAAAGTAAAGCAGAACTCCCATATATTGAATTACCACTGATGACCAATAGGGGCAGCAAATAAACTAATTAATCGTCAGCAACCAGATTAAATATAATTTCAGTCCCTATCTTGCTACCCCTTCCCCTCAATTTAAACAATTTTGCTTACCGGCATATTGCCCCCCCCCCCCCCCCCCCGGTTTCTATTGATTCTATCTCTTCAAGGAAAAAAACAAACAAACACAACCCCTAATCCCCCCCCTGCTTATATTGTTCCTTGAAAAAGGCAGGTAAATGTCCCCCCCCCCCCCCCCCCCCCCGGTTTCTATTGATTCTATCTCTTCAAGGAAGAAAAAAAAACACACACAACCCCCCCTCCAAAAACAATAACAAAATGTCGGGTTGGAATAATGGCTCATTATTCTTCCAGAGGCTTTAAAGGTAAAGACCAGTAATGGAAACGCCCCAATTTCAAAAAATGAAATGGAAGCTCTTATTACCAATCATGTGAAAGAATATGTTTTGACTAATACATGATGATACAAATTTTGCCGGGAAACCGCCTACTAATTGATATATTTGGTAAATTAGTTTATCTATTGGTGTGTGAGAGATAGTCCCATATATATCTTTCTGTGTATAGTGCTTGTAACTTTATGAAGACTGGGCCAAATTTCTTATCATTTTGATGATTCCAGAAACTTACAGTACACACCAATACTTATATGCTAGATGATCAACCTTTTATGATCGATTCCACAACGTTTCTTTCACAATGCAATCGCATGACCATAACTGGTCTTTATCTTTAAGAACTATTCAGAATAGCTTATGATGGCCATTTTTTTGTTGTGTTGTAATTAAAAAGTACACAGTGGCCACAGCATGAAACTTTTCATGAAAAACTTTGGGATTGTACAATAGATTTCAAACATACAATATGTACCTTTGCAGCCACTTTCACTGTCACTATGAGGTCTGAAATAGTTGGGTTGTAGACTGTTACATCTGTTTGGAACTGACTGATTTTGATTATGCTCTGGGTTAGCTAGCTATGTGCTGCCCTCTTGTGTTTATTGTTCATCTATGTGGAATTACTAGTAGAGCAGTAGAGGGCAGCATATTTTATGGTTTTACCTTGACCGTGTCGGTTATATGAGTATTTTAGGTTGATGGAAAAATAAAGGTAGATGACTTACACATTTGTCAGGTAATTTGGTATCCCTAAATATATTATTGTGTTTGCTACAACTATTTTATTTGTGAAGATAGATATGGATTTTGGACAGTTGTGTATTAAGCCAGTTTCTAATAGATATGGGGGTTTGATATCATAAAATCTGTATTTAAGTTATACCAACTACATGTAATACTGCTTGAAGTGAAATCAAAATGCATACATGTACGTGCACATGTATATGTACTGGCAAATTCTGTTGTAAATGAATTACATTGATGAGTATAAAAAATATTGCACATTTTTGTTATCTGTCATCTGACGAGCCATTTTACATGTGATCTGGTTGGTCTGTTGACCTGATTATGATGAGATTTGCCTGTAATTTACATCAGTTTTTTCAAGGTAAATTCCTAAAATGAAGTGCTTGAAACATTGGAGCTATTTTGATCCACCTATCTTCACAGGCTTGTTTGAAATTTAAATCCTATGACATGTAAATGATATTGTTTAAAGTCGATTGAGATTGTTTACCAAGAAACAAGCAATTTTCTACTTTTGCATCGTATACAAGTAATGTAAAGTCCTGTGAAAGAATTCATTATTAAAATTTCAATACGTTAAAATGCAATAATGTTTGTTCTATATTTTTGTAATTTATTTCTGCAGAAGTAATATGCAAACTAGGTACATATTTTGTATTAAAAAAAAGAAGACATAATACATATCATATCATTATATTAATCAATTACCTAATTATACCTTTCAGAAAACACAAAGTCGACAAATGATTTCAAAAATTAAAAATTGCAGGTGACCGCCATCTTAAGCTTGAGAGCTTGAAGGTGATTGCAGCATCAGAAAAGGAACCTTCTAATTATGGGCGACCAACCTTATTCTATAATATATCAGAAATGAATTAATTCTAACAGCAACAAAATGAAAGAAATCAATTTTTGTGAAAGGCATAACATGAAATGCGTTAAGTTTGAATGTTAGTGTATGTCTTTTTGAAAATTTATTTATGTTCTTATTTATGTATGTGCATGGGCAAGCGAGGGTGTGCGAGTGTTTACGTTTGGAGCGTTTATTATTAAAATCATGACTTGCATGCTGATGATAACTTACGCTTCATGTACAATGTTTGATGTAGCCGACAAAATTACATGGATTGTAATCAACTGGGGCTCATTACAGTAGAGATGTTAATGGAGTTATGGACACATGCATCGGAAAAATCTTGTCTCGGAAATAGCAACAGATATCTAAATTGGAGCACATTTAATGTAAAATTAATTTATATTTGCTGTTTAAATCGGTCTCTTTTTTGTTGGAGTATTGGGCAGGATACTTGCAATGTAAAAATGTACATTCAATCGTTACTAAAGAATATATTCTGTTTTTATAGTAGCTGTCCATTTGCACTGTTTGATGAAGGGGGGGGGGGGGGGGGGGAGATATCATCAACGAGGGCTCATATTCATAAAACGTTACTTAAGCCGAGTTGTCGGCTGTATGCATCATAGCCTGTGTAATTAATTGACAACTAGCTTAGCAATGTTTTATGGAATTATGGGTTCTGATAATTTGCTTTTTTTCAATTAAAAAATAAAATAAAAATAAATCATAACGCCCTTTTGGGTTCATAGCAGATGAGAGAGAGAGAGAGAGAGAGAGAGAGAGAGAGAGGGAGAGAGAGAGAGAGAGAGAGAGAGAGAGAGGGAGAGAGAGAGGGAGAGAGAGAGAGGGAGAGAGAGAGAGAGAGAGAGAGGAGAGAGAGAGAGAGAGAGAGAGAGAGGGAGAGAGAGATGAGTAAAGAGATTATGAATGATATATTATGAATATGGATAAAGATGGATATCATGGGTTCATAGATGAAGAAAATAAAAAGGGTCGTTGAAATAATAGTTAATAGAGAGGAGATGCAAACATTGATGTAGAGGGAAAATAGACAGAGAGAGAGAGATAGAGAAGTAAAGAGATGGGAATTATATACGGATAGGGAGATAAAAGGGAGGTTGAAAATGAGAGAAAGGGATAAGGGCGGCAGAAAGAGTAATAGAGAGGAGATTTAAAGACAAAGACAGAGAGAGAGAGAGAGAGAGAGAGAGAAAGAGAGAGAGAGAGAGAGGGAGAGAGGAGAGAGAGAGAGAGAGAGAGAGAGATTGGGGAATTGTATAAGGATAGATAGATAAAGGAGGTATGGACGTGGAAGTTTATAGATGAAAGAAAAAAACTGAACGTGCACATATAGATGAAGAGACGGAGAAAGATAAGGATTCTAAGGAAAGAGATGAAGATAAAGGGCTTTGTCAGAGAGAGAAATATATATAGAGAGAGAGAGCTAGGTTATTCTACTCTCCCCCACCTCCGCTTAAAAAAGTAAACGAATACATAAATGCAATTCGGAAATTAAGGTCCAGAATTTTTTTATATATCTAAAAACTAGATCGCGGGATATTTCCCTTATGCAAAAGTCCAGATACGCCACAGAAAAAAAAACTTTGTTGTAGTGAAAAGATGAATTGTTTTTTTGCGAGGTTCGACAAGTCTATAGATATGACGCGCAAACAGCCACCCATACATCATAGTGTAAGACACGTTAATCGGATATTATGTGTTTTCTGAAATTATTACGTGTGAAACAATGAGGTAATACGTCATTCGTTGGCATATACACATAGACAATAAACGTGTATGATTTCAAGCAAGAGCTTAAAAGCATTTTCACATGCACATTGCATGACACTATAATGAATTAATTATTGCCTGTATTGTTCCGAGGGTGCTCATCATTATGGTTGCCATAGAAACAGAGCTAATGCTCGTGTTTCCACCTTTATGAAATGTATGAAAACGCATTATGAGTTGGTTATTAATGGAATTGGAAGTGTTGTATGAAAAGTGCTACAGGCTTATAATTCCCTTTGAGATGTACTTTTGCAAGCGGTATTGTGTTAAGAGATTTAAGATAGTCTAGTTTGTGTTTAGGTTTCAACATATTTAGAGCGAAGTATGGTTACTTGCTTTTTGTATATAAAAGTAAAGCCAACAGGTTGTAAATAAATATCATGTGCTATATTTTTACACTAGAAGTTTGATATCATAATGCATATTGAGCGACAGTGCTATAACTCTGTAGTCTGTAGTCATTTCAGTTGATTACTGATCTAGGCTTATATGTTTAGTACTGCATGAGTACTGATGTCGGAGTGATGTGTTAGTTTTACTACAAAAGACATAGATATTTGAGTTAGTTATTATTCTATCACTACATTTTCATGTATAATACGTTTCGTGGTGTATTTGTGTTATGTATTTATTTTCCAAGGCAAAGGATTATGTAGCATCTATTACATTTTTTTTTTTAAATGCCAACATTCAATTCCTAAAGATATTGAATACATTTGGAAAAAATTGGGAAGAGATAATGGAATGGCTAGAATCGCTGTGAATTCGAATCAAAGATGAAACAAGAAAGTTCACAGATAACATCTTGTTTGGTTAAACTACATGTATATTAATGGCTAGAATCGCTGTGAATTCGAATCAAAGATGAAACAAGAAAGTTCACAGATAACATCTTGTTTGGTTAAACTACATGTATATTAATGGCTAGAATCGCTGTGAATTCGAATCAAAGATGAAACAAGAAAGTTCACAGATAACATCTTGTTTGGTTAAACTACATGTATATTAATGGCTAGAATCGCTGTGAATTCGAATCAAAGATGAAACAAGAAAGTTCAGATAACATCTTGTTTGGTTAAACTACATGTATATTAACCTCGGTGAAGTGAAGAGGCCTGTTTTCCTTCTGAAATGCGA